TTTTTTCTACTTCATTTTTCGCTATGGAGAGATTTTGTTTGTAATTAGACTGGGAGGGGAGAGGGGGGAGGGGTGGCGTTGCTACAGGATTTTTTAATTTCTCTCACAATTACCCTGACGTGATTGTGATTCCAGGGTGCATCACACTCATTACATTGATGCTCTTGGTGTTAAAGTTCCTATACAATGGGACACTCCGGCGGGAAAAGAGCTAGCTAACGCGTTCGTCCTCTCAGAAAACGTAAGTTTCACATCACTATGGGGCCCCTTTCTACTCTTTGATCCCATTCTATCATTTGCTTCCTGTTTCCGCTTTATTCAGGCTCTACGATTTATATTTCTACGTGATTTGCACGCCCACGATGGATATGCGTCTTTAGCTCAACGGAGTATATCTTGGACAACATGGACGTCCTTTACTAGTATATTTACATACTGGCTGCATAATGTAATATTTTCTGCGTGTTTCCTTTCTAACCTTAAGCTTAAGTAACGTTTCTTCAAGTCAGCCAGGATATGCGGTGGAACTGCTACTTCTTTTGCTGTGATTTACGCGTTATTTGTTTCTGCTGCATGGTTTGCCAACAAGCAGTGGTATTACTTGTACAGGTATGCTTCCTGCCTGAAATTCATGGAAATCTTATTCAGCTAGGTGTTGGTCAGGAGATCCATGTTGCGGTAACGGGAGCGGCGGTCGGAGTGGCGTCATGTGCACCGCATTCGCACCGGCACCAACTCTTTAACGTCGACCAGCAAGCTAGGGAATATCGGCATGTCGCTGAGCGTCACCGCAGCGTGGATCTCCTGACCCACTCCTAGCTCAGTAACTTGATTCATTTGCTATTGCAATGTTTTAGATATGTGACAGATGTGCATGCTGATAGTGTCGCTGCCCGCTCATCCTTTTGCCATTGTGAAGGTGGAAAGGAGTTGTACTGGAAGCAGTTGAAGAGGAATAGGTACTTTTTTGTTGTTTTTGTCGTGCTCTCACCGGCTTAAGACCAAAAGTGGGTGGTCCATGCGCTACCTTTCTACGCGATAGATGACGTGTCACTGACGTCACGCAGCACGTTAATGACGTTATTGGTGCTGATACAATACAGATATCCTCGTTTTCAGCAAGACAGGTTATCCCTTAACTCTGCAGGGCACGTCTCGCCATTGTCGGGTAAACTTTTTAAAATACGGCTCTCGTCGAAATGTCCACCGTGATACGACCTCTCCATCCTAATGACCATCTTCTTAAATTCTACCGCTTTTCTCCTACTTTTCTGGCATTTTCTATCGAAAATTCCTCACTTTCTGCACAAAAAAAACTACCGTCGATCAGAAGCTGGTAGGGGTAGTGCACTTGAAACAGGAGAAACCGACAGCAACCGGAAAATTCCTTACTTTGGCATTTCTCTTGAGGGCAATTACGACCTGCCCCTTCCCTCCCGCGACCAGAGATCATACGTCATACTCTGGGGATTCGCAGCCCCAGCAAGCGGGGGTCCCTTGCTGGGGTTGGAAATCCCCAGAGTATGACGTGCCCTGCATTTTCAGCTTATGGCCGGTGAAGGATCTATGCTCACCATGTTCTCGCGGTGTTGGTCATGCCTTCATTTTCAGGGTTATGCGCGAGATCTGCCCTGAATTAAGAGATAAGATAACTGCGTCCGGAGATATTCGTGGAATAGCTACACCTATAATAGTTCGATATGATCATCTGAAGGTAAAATTATTGGTTGTCAAAATTGCAAAATTAAGCTGCACTTGTAATTTGCAGGATCTCAATGAGGAAGATGATGAATTGAAGGAAGTTGTAAGTGGAGACGATTAGGCTAGGTTACTGTAAGATTCTCCACCATTTGTCCATTTGGTGCAATATCGTGTACTCAGAGTCATTGTTACATTGTTAGGTTGTTATACTGGATGTTATATCTATAAGTAAAATTTTACCGGTACTTTGTCAAATGGAAAAGCCGTATGAACGGCAGTGGTACTGAAGATGTTTAATTGTCATTGTTGTCAGTTGTTTCGCTTACGGCGTTTTAAAACTCATCAAGTCTTTTATTGGGACATGGAGGAGCGCTGCGGTAATTGGGAATGGTGGGGGGGGGGGGAAGGGGACACACATGAGTCTAGACGCTGCGGTGACTGTGGCCGTGCCGTCTGCGCTCTTGTAAGTTGAGCTTGCAGCCTCGGTACAGAGCGCATATAACCAGCTTAAGAGGCTCAAACCCCTGGCCATTCCTCTCCCTTCCCCCTCCATTTACGTTGTCTCACATGAAGACGGATTCAAGAAGACTGGGTCAATGGTGCTCTAGCGAAACTTTTGGTCCGCAAAAGGGACGCTTTTCTTTCGCTGTTGACGTCGCGCGCGATGTGCAGCATGGACCTGCTGAGCGACTGCTTTCAGTTCATTCTGTCAGCCAGCCCTACATTCCATGTTCCATGTTCACAGGGTCTCTTGATAGGCATCGACTGTGTTGACAGCAGTGATTGTCGCGTGGAAAGCATAAGCTGCGCAGACTTTTTTTAATTTATATTGCACTTCCAAAAACAAAGCATATGAAATGATATGGGTGCTACGGGGCGGGATGGTGTAGAGGGGGAGGCACGTGGCGAGGTGGCTAAGTCCGCCCAGTCTGCGTCTCTCATCGAGAATGGTGAATCGCCATGCCTAGACACTCGGACTAAGGATGGCGCAGTCATGGTGGTGCGCTTCGCAGCGTATGCCTCCTTCCCCCTCCACCCGCATCCCCACCCCGCACCACTCATTCACGTGGTGCCGGTGCGTTTTATTGGAGTGATCTCTGGTGTTGTTGGAACGAGAAATATCGTTTGGAATGAGCTTTGTTTTACGCTCTCCTTTCGGGATATCGTTTTTCAGGGATGGGTTCGACAGCTGTTGGCCTAGGAGCATGTGCAGTATCGTCAGTCTTTTTTGGAAGCGCATATGTCCCCATAAAGAAGTTTGATGCATCTAATGGTGAGTTTTTAGCTCAAACCATGGCAGTTTTCTTCGTTCGCTTCCTAATGTATTGAGGTATGAGCAAATGAGATTCTTCGCAATTTCAGGAATCTTTGTTCAATGGGTCATGGCGGCCGGCATACTTTCCGTCGGGATGGTAGTAAATGCTTTCGAAGAGTTCCCTAAATTTCAACCTCTTGCAATGGCTGGGGACGTACACTATGGCTGCTGAAGGTACGTTGTGTGAGGTGTGTCGGAGTGGAAGAGGAGTGCGGTGGTAGAGTGGTGTGAGAGAGAGAGTCACTGCTCACTTGAATGCTTTTTCAATTTGTTAGTTGCAGTGGCCGTAGACAGAATAGGCACGTCGGAAATCGCTGAATTTACCGGTTGGTGTTTGGCGGGTGTGGGGTGTTCATGACCAGTTGGCCCCATGTGCGGGACAGAATACGGTGTCTGGCTGGCGTGACGTACGCGTATTCTGACCCAAGACCCCAATCTATTCCAAAGGATACTAGTACTGCGACGAGTCAACTTCCTCTGTGGCTGCCTCAAGTCGACTAGCTCTATGCATTTGTCTGCCCAGTAAGCTAGCTAGAAAGAGTTGTGCTTGTGCGCACGATTTCGCGATCCGGAAGCAACGCCTTGCACCGGGGTTGGCGCACATCTTCGAAGGGGTAAAAGGTATAGTAAAAATGGATTATTGAGAGGTCGTTTGGAGCGAGATAGTAGAACCAAAATGCTTCTCAAATGGGCTCCATATTCTGACCTGAGCTTCAAACCATATTCGGAAGAAGTTGGTGGGGAGATCGAGGTTGCAAACTAGCTAGTTGTCTCGTTGCCTGCAGCATTTAGAGTCTAGATGGTTTAGCAACAATCAGTGGCCAGCTTACCAGGCGCGCGGTCTACGGGTCAGGTCGCAGTTCAGCTTCCACTCAAACTTACCGAGCCTTCTGCCCTCCGGAGATGGAAATTTGTGACAGGTTGGTCTGGTAGGGTGAACACGTAATGTCGAAATCTCGCAGCAAGGTTTATTGTGTAGATCAGATTGCCACTATGTTTTCATAACATGTTGCGACCGCGTTACCGCGTCCCCTAGAGAGGAGGTTTGTTTTTTTTTTTTTCTGGTCAGAGCCGGGAAGTTTTATCATTCTAGCTTCTACGGTAGCGCCTCCACCAAAAGGTGACGCGTCGCCGCAATGTGGGTTTCCTCACCGAAAGCTGTTCAAGAAGGTGCGAAGAAACACTTCAGTTTCCATGACGGCGATAGAATTGACAGTTAATCGAAGAGTAGACATATATGATCATTTTGTTGATGTTATTTGAGATGAGACCTTAGTTCAATATTTAATCTTCAAAGGTAATGTTACTGCTGTGCCTATCATGAATGTTCTTGGTCTCGGAATGGGAATGCTGATTTGGGGAGCGACAAACTGTGTATGTGGATGGGCCGTAGGAAGGTAGCAGTTCACGTTACACTTATCATCTTTTTTTATGAGCTAACGCGCAAGCTGTTCAAGTTTACCATCTAAAAGTTTAGCCAGCCTATTTTCCGAGGAATAATACTGTAGGTTTTGCATGTCGAATACGACGTTCACATATTCGAGGGCGGAGTCACCTTGTATACAGAAGGGCTGTAATCACTGGCGCTTGTTTTGTGCGGATGCTGGAGCTGCTTTTCGCGCGGTGCTAAAACGCGATATCTTGCTATTCGGTTTAACGCCGCGCTAAATGCAAGCTCTATAGCAGCTGGCAATCGCCATAACTGGTGGAAAAAGGCGGGAGTGGGAGAGGGTCGTGGGAGAGGTGAGACGCCTAGCGTCCGCAGCTGAGCTTTCAGTAATGCTCGCTGATGCAAGAGAAGCCGCCTGTTTTGGATTCCAGGACGTCTTTTGCCGACGACACTGCATCTTTCCCCTTTCCTCCTTCTCTTTCTAGCGTCAGAGTTCCAGCCCAAGAATGGACAAGAAAATGACTTTAGGCTAGCTTTGATTGACAGATGTCTTGTAACTCTTTGTGCCATGTTTGCTTCACAGCTCCTTAATTGCTTTGTACTTTGAGATTTGGCTTGTTCGGTGTCCACGCCTCCGTTCCCGACCACCCATTATTGAACTATTTGGGTTTATCAATGGTCATACTAGGGTGAGTAATTTCCGAGTTATATTAATTGTTATCCCTGCAATTATGCTCAGTTCTGTTCAGAGGAGTTTTCTTTTCGCAACTTCGGCCATCCGTTACCCTCCCTACAAATGCGGAGGTTGCTGTCGTTGAAGAAAGAAGTACTCCCGTCAGAAGAAATTCGGACGAAGATAGCCCTTTATTGGAATCCTCAGCTGCATTATCGATAGGGATTAGTCGTAGGGCAAAAAGGCTCATGTAAGTGCTTATTGGTTGGAATTCTACGATATCGTCTCTCAGATTACTGGTTCAGGGCAGTAGCCGTTGCTCTCGTGGCTGGCATCTTCTACGGAACTACTTTCGTCCCAGTGATCTACATCCAGGATCATCCCGAAATGGTTTGTTCGTAATTATCTGGCGTTAGATTGCATTCAAAATTTCATATTCAAGTTCCCTGACGCTACAAAGAATGGACTGGCATACGTATTCGCGTACTACTGTGGAATTTTCTTCACGGCCACCTTCCTGCTTGTTCTATACATCGCCTTCAGCGGTGTGAGTGTTAGCGCTAGCCTGTTCTTTTTTTTCTTTTGGACCGATAATACTGTACCATGCCGTTCCTATCAGCCGTCTTCCACCAGCTGTCGCTTACCAGCCTCGACACTTGATGGAGAACGGGCTGGCGGCTCGTCCAATCCAGCTTCCCACCCTTGATCTGCAGCGAACAAGACCGTAGATGCTGTAACGCATGGTCAGATCAGTAGTAAAGGCATTCCGCGATTACAATGGGCGGAGAGACGGGCAAATACTGTGTCTTCCTCGCTTCACTCCAATACGGAGACCCACTATAATAAGAGAGTGAACGCACCAATGAGAAAAGTTCGCTGGTTACGAGTCTACGCCCATCGGTGATTGCGGACTGTGCCTCTTGGGAGAAAGGATTCGTAAGCAGTCTTAGCCTAGAGAAGGTCTATGTCCATTCCAAAATGACTGTTACAGAGCTGACCATCAGAAAAAAAAAGCAAAACATTGCTCTCGAATCGAGACCTGTTAGTAGTTGGAGCTAGGCAATTTTACCTCGTGCGACAAAAGTTTCGGTTCAAGTGGCAGCATTTTTTTACTCCTGAGACGAAACCTTTGTTTATCTCGGCTCTTAGAGGTACAGCTAGAAAAACCGAGTTTTTCGGCGAGTGGCGTCTTCATTGTGCCCTACATATCGGGCACGGACGCTTTCGGTTCTCACCGTCCCGCCGCTCAACTGTCCTGACTACTTGCATCCGTTTGATTTTTTCAGTAAAAATTATGCGTCCTTTTGAATGAACGAATCCTTTAACCCAAAAGTTTTCTTAAGAAACATTTTTCAGAATAATCCCATCGCTAACAGTAAGATCATCGGTCCGAGCTTCCTGGCTGGATGCATGTGGGCGATTGCGCAGAGTTTTTGGTATGACTATAATTGTGTGATCGTTTCTTGTAGGGTTTAGCTTGTGCTTGGAATACAGTAGCCAGGAAAATCTGTAAGAGGGTGTCAAATTGTTTTAGGTTTGTTGCGAACGACAATTTGTCACAGCCTATCGCCTTCCCTATAATCAGCATGGTACCAGGTGTATGTGCAGCCATGTGGAGTGTTTTCTATTTTAGGTAGATTGTTTTTATTCAATTATTTGGGCGTTACTAGCTTGGAGATACACAAGGTGCGCTTAAGTGTGCTATTCTGCACCCTCACAACATAGCTCCTCAGATGCTCTCTCAAGATAGTAACCCCTCCTTCGGCTCAGCCTTACGAGAGTGCATACGAGGAGAGTATTCGCGGCGTAGCCTGACTGCGTTCCCTCCCCGACTGCAGTGAGTGACTGCAGTTTCTTATAACATGTATGTACTAAACAGTTCACTTCAGAGAAATAACTGGTCATCGAAACCTGCGCATTCTGTTTATCGCCATTGGTACTACCCTAGTCGGTGCAGTACTTGTAGGAATATCCAAGTAAACGGGAAAGTAACAGGGTTTCTTGAGCTCGTACTTAATCTTCAAATAATCTCTTTTTTCATATTTCTTACATTTGTTTATTTTTCAATGGATTCGAAATGAGCACTGATCATGTTTTTGCCCAATGCTTGACTGAAACTTTCGTTGACTTTGCTTTTTTTTTCGTATGACTTTCTATTTAATGCCCTCTCTCTGTCTCTCTCTATCTATCTCTCTCTTGTTACTACTATAGTTGGGGGGGGTGACCCGCAGCGGTAGGACTGTTCTTGCCTTGTGAGCCCCGTGGCGACGCTAGTCCTCTGGGTTTTGGTAGTGTTCATTGTGATGAGCAGAATGAAGAGGGCATAGGGCCACTGGAGCTGTGTTCTCCCCTCTCCCCCCCCCCTCCCCGCTTCTCACCGAGCAACGTTGGTGCTCTTTTTCTTATCTCCTCTTGGGAAGGGGAAGAGGCATAAAAAAAGCAGTATCTTTCCCTTTGTCCCTCCTACCCTTCCACTTCCCCTCCGAACCGTCCGTGGCGCTCTTTTTCTTTTGTTTCTTGTCCTCGGTGTTAATCCTACAGCGCTGAGTTCTTGTAAAATGTTGCGTATTCCAAGGGAACTACTGTAATTTGAAGAGGCTACGCTGCAATGAAATCCAGAAATCCGTCCTCTTTGACTTATCACCGATATAATGATCCCTTTCTCTGTGTGGGTTCACTCAAGGCACTGCATACGTCGGGGAGTGCCCAACAGGTGGGGGAGGGGGGAGGGAGAGAGGTGGAGAAGCTTGTATTTCATTGGTGGGAAACATACCCCTGCTCCAGGAACTGCCCCGCGTTCAGAACGGCAGAAACGACCACATTCACCGTGGTCTCATCACGGGCCGTAGAAGAGCGGACTTGGTCGCATCACCGCTTGTGCCACCGCCTTCTCCCCGGCTGCGTTCATACTTCCCGACTCGAGTCATTCAGCGTCGCAACTTGGGCATAGCGCAATTGTGACTGATCGCGCTCCACCTCTAATTATTGGACTGCTGCAGCCACTGATGGACAATAGCGGTCCAGCCCTAGAGCGTTGTAAGCCGCAGTCACAACTGGAAGTCGCGAAGTATAAACGCGACCTAAGCGCAATCTCTTCTATACAGCTTTTATTTTTTCTAACATCCTTCTCTTTTCATCCTGATTTCTCATTTAATTTTATATGAGATTAATTTCATCCAGGTGTAATTTATACGTACAAACCTAAGCAGAGATATCAACCATCTGTTGAGATTCTACACGAACTGGTAACCCTCTTCTTTTTTGGAATGCTATTTTTATTTTCAGAAAATTTCTTGTGATATTCTGTGTAATTATTTTCATCTGAATTTGCCCATTCTTTTTCACCTGTTGTAGCTTATCTTGTAAAAATTTCATTTGATTTTGTGATAATTTTGCGATCTTCTTATCTTCTAACCATTCTTGTGTATTTATTATTTACTAACCCCAGCGACATGTATAAATAACTTTTCATATCGGTAAGGGTATGGTGATTAGATAGCCTGTGATCAATCAATAATGTCTGTAAACTTCTCAATAAAAATGTTCAAAGTTCATAAATATACAAAGTATAATGAAGAAGCCTGATTCAGTTAAGGTGAAAGTCTCTGCATCGTCCATTCTTTGCCATTTTTTCTGAATCCCAAACGTTCATTTCGCCAATCAGTTTTTCCTTGCCAAAATTCAACATAATCTGGTGAGAGTAAGTAACCACCCCTGAAAATCGGATTGCAAATCTTTCGATATCATGTAGAGGGTCGCAAGAAATGACGGTGCTAAGGTAGGTCGGAGGGGCCACGCGGCGCGGTGACTATATCTGCCCTCCAGAGCTGTGGACTCTGGCCGTCTGCGCTCTGCTGGCACTGAGCCTTGGGCAGAGAGCAGATTAGGGCCCAATTGGTTGCTGGGAAGTTTTTGCAGAAAAACAACCTCCCTGCCCCGATTTCCTCGTCTCGTGTTTAGGGAAATCCTCACAACGTGCTTGCTAACACGCTGTACAAACACAGCGAGAAAGCGACTGTCACAAAAGTTCTTTTCTTGGTCAACGAACGACCGCCCTTCAATCGGCAGCCAATTACGACACCAATCCTTGGATTTCCGGAGGCTTACGCGATTTTGGGGGAGGAGGATGCCAGTCGCGCCATAGTGTAGCCCCTCTGAACTAAGTCAGTGCATGAATGACTCACCAACATTCCGGTTTTGTGATGCTACGTTCTCCTTCCTTAGCTGCTAATTCCTGCAAAGCCCTTCGTTTGTTCTCGAGGTACTGGAAGCTACGAAGTTACTGAAGTCACATCTCGTTGACAAATGGAGTGGACTCAATATCCTTAAGATAGGAAGGGCGTGGCTGCATACTTCATTGAAACAAAACAAGCATTATCGTCTTTTCCCGGGGTTATTCCACGTAAGACAACAGTCATCCAGTCTTCCTCATTCAACTTGTCCCAACGCGGCAATATCTTACGAAGAGCTGAGTCGCTGCTACATTCGAACGAAGGGCGCAGCCATGCCCACTCCATCTTCGGGATATGGTGTGCAACTCTCTAAGCTCACTGAATTCACCTGCTCAGTATCTTGCGAGCTAGTTCAAAGTTTAAACTTAATACAATCTAGAAAGCCTCATATTCATTTTCAAGTTTCCTTTCAGAAAACTAAGAAAATAGGAACTTTATCAGTCATGAATGAAAGTGTCACAACTTTCCTATGAGACGTTACCTCTTCATTTGGTATGACAGCGCTCTGTTCGTTGCTTTTTAAAACAATCCGAATAGCTAGCGGTAGTGAATTCCAGTGCTCGATTGCTGCTTCTTTTGGGAACTTACTCACTTTGCCTTCTACCCGTACCTAAACATCATACTACAACGGATTTTGAAGGATACACATATCTGATCCCTATCAATATGAGCTGATAGAAAATCGTTATCGGATGAGACTGCGTTTATACTTCACGACTCAAAGTACTCAGCGACTTGTCGAGCTCATTGGCTCATCGTTAAACCGCCACATCGGAAGACTGATACTTCAAATTTCACGATGGTTGCCGGCAGCTTGCAATGCGTCCAATGAGTTAGCGAATGGAGCGCCACTTGCCACGATTTCCAAACATCGCCCAACTTGAGAGTGGAATGTCAATTTTAGCTAGTGGAACCTCACTTAGCACCTTTCGCCCTCGCTGTGGGACACCGAGTGAGATCGGACAGCTGGGGCGACCTTGCCTTAATTGGGTGCGCTGGCCGGTGCCTCTCACCAGCATTTCCAGCTCAGTGAATATCATTGATAAATAGAAGAAGGGGGAAATTCAATAGTTAGGAGAATTAAAGCCACTTAAAGGTTCGAGACACACGCATGAATGGAAATGGGTCCTGAAACTGTGAAGAACATTTACCTTCTACGCCTATATGGGTGACCAGAAGTACTATACGAATTAGCTAAGCAAACTTAGTTAACTATCAGATCACCCTCGAACACGTCTATTAGACACCTTTGCTTTTGATACCCTTGTGATCAGACCTCTTCGAAGGCTCAATTCGTAGGCTCAACAAGTGTTTAGGCTGAAGAATTGCATTGAACAGCACCTTTCCGTGTTTGTGTCTCAGCATGATTTCAAGGCTGATACGGCGACTTTCTCTACTCGGTTCTCCTCAGCCATACCTTCTTGTCAACACTCCCCAACCCCTTACCCTCCACGGCAACACTTCACAACTCCATGAACCTTCATGTACACGGCCTCTACGATCGACACCCCGACTACACCTGCCCATTCCTTCTCCATCATACAGTGTATATGGATCTTTTACAGACACTACTACAGCACAAGGCACGCGGCCACTCCTTCATTATATGTATACGTCTTTAGTTTTACCACAGATGCCTTCTGCGAAAGAACCTGCGCCTACTACATTTGTTGCACTCCTCCCCTCTTTGCAGACACACAACGCATCTTTCAGGTACCTTAGATGCCTCAGCTTCTCCTGCTGCTGCAGTAGATCAAGGTGTACAGCGATGTTATTAATATTAGCCTAATAAAATGACATTAATGAATATTGATTCAGTCCCTCGTTATGCTTTGAGATGAGCATTATAACAAGAGGTCACTCACTTATGAAAGGGCTCCCCAGTGGCAAGGCACACTAGGTGCGAGATGTGCCAAAGCCCCTAATCATTACTGACTTAGCTTAGCAAGTTACACACCCCAACTGAGTCGCTCGTGTCGCGAAGTATGAACGCGGCACGACCATATGCAGAGATACCATTCCTCCCTAAGTTTTTCACTGAGCAGACACTTGGTTGGTAACTTAACTCCAATTTACTCCACTTGTGTTAATACTTTTACAAGAGCCCCTCCCAAGTATAATAAGGAGACAGGAAATGAGGAGTTCATATGTATACGCTAGTCGCGGCTGGCATTAATATATAACACTTCTCACTCGAATCAGCTATACAGTTGCAGTGTGCATCAAAGAATTCCCAACGCTTATCATGTAGGCGAGTTTTACCATTTTATGCTTCCCTTCATTAACGCTGTCGATTTTGTTGGAATGCTGTAGAAGTCGAGGCACGCGCTAGTGAGAAAGGCAATGGTATAGCTTGACCCCGCCCATGTGATCAGCGTGGACTACTGCCTCATCTGCAATCTCAGACATAAGAAGATTTTAGTTGATCCAAGATTTTTCTTGGTAAAAGCGTATGCGAATGCACTGGGTTTCTCTGTTCGCGTAATAAAGGAAGGAGATTCTTCACTTAATTCAACTGTTTTCTGTACCACTTACTGCCATAAATCACAATTACCTGTCTATCAAGAACTGCGCCAGTAGAACAAGCATACAAGCATTTGGATTCTCCTGCAGTTCACGGGCTTTTCGACTATCGTAGCTTGTGTAGATTGAGAAACCATCAACATCGTAGGCTTGCAGCAGAACCGTTCTCGATGATGGCTTCATATCCCTTAAACAGTACAGTTATCTCAGATAACTCCGGCTATAAATATTGAATGGATATCCCCTTGGAATGCGCCACGCATAAAACATTCAGTCGAGATAGCATGAAATTCTGGATGCCCAATGTTTCCGGGGAATAAAAACAGATGAAGCGATGCTTTTTCGTGGGCATCAGCTGCCGCTCGACACACTATAGGTTTCCAAGTCAAACCATTTAGGTCTTGGTGCGAATGTCGCGTAGGCATCACCTGTGTCAGCACCTGCAGTGTTACAGGGTAACACCCACAGGACCCCTGAAATTATTCGATTTCCTAATTGTGTGCTACTCACTTGCCCACTGTCGAGAAGAAGACGGCATTACGCTCTTCGTATGATAATGTCTTTTGCGCTGCCACATTTTTGAACCTGGAATAAGCATTTGCAATTTTTTTATACAAATGGATTAGTTAACTTGTAGGTCCTCACAATTGGAGGCGTTATACCAACCCGTAGGAGAGGGGCAGGGAGGGGTTGCAAGTGACCTAAGGAGCTTCAATCCGCGAGAAACGTGTACCCAATGCTTGAAGACTAAAGCCAAAGAAACAGCCGAAAACTTTAAACGAGATATTTCACTGGACGAGTTTCCCGTATTTCTTGGTACCATGCCAGCTGATCGATATGTTCATCCTCACCATGCATGGGAGGTGGTCGTTTGGCGTGATCACCTGTTTTGACAGGTAATGGTACGTGTCTACTGGGTTGGATGACTTGTTCCATTCAGAGAACTGCAAGGTTTTTGCAACTGATAACCTGCATAAGGTTAGTGGTTTGTTTCGGTGCTTCTGTTTCCAAGCCAGCTTTCTACCACTTAGGGATATGCACTAGGGTTAAATTTCGGACGAGTTACTTTAACTGGAAAACGGTTTGCCTTTTCACAAGTCAGCGGCAAAATGACCCTATCGAACGACATACAACTTTGTGCATTCCCTGGCTCACAATCGTTCCTTCCCACAATCGCACCAGAACTCCCCACCTTATTGCAATAACACCCCATCAGATTCACTAACGCTTTTATAAACACGCCAAATCTCACCAGATGTCAAACAACTTCATCGGATCACGAACAGTTTCATCGATGCTGGGTTCCTTTCTTTTGCAATACTCATTACGCAATGCTGAAATGGCTTCAGTGAGATAATATGGTACTTTATGGGCGTTCTAGATAAAACACCATAGGTAATACTAACAGTAAGCCATTTCAGCATTGCGTAATGAGTATTGCAAAAGAAAGGAAC